GTGTAATCATAATAGTCGTAATCATAAGAATATCATAATCATAATAGTCATATTAACCATGTAGTTTTATGCCTGAGGTATTTGGATGATTAGTTCGGATTCGTAATTTGCCATTTCTCAGCCATTCCATCTGTTCTGGTGGTCTCTCTGATTCTGACGTACGTTCCGTGACGAGATTGTATGCTTAACGCTTCTCCAAGTAGCAGCACTTAGCACCCAGTTTCGCACCATTTTAGTAGCAGCACTCCAACTAGCACCTCGTTTAGCACCATTTTAGCCGTCTATGTTTACAGTTCAGGGATGAAACACAGACGTCACCCAATACAAATGCCGGCTAGCTTAAATGAGATTGTATAATTTGGCTTCTTCGCGAATATCAAATAAACAAAGTCGACTGTCCCATTCCTCTTTCCTGTTGTCGCTGCACCTTGCCAGCAGCAATGCTATACTTTCCAATACTTATCTGGGATTTAGCATTTCCGAGATGCTTTTGTTAAACCTTAAGCTCGCCACTTTGCTACGATCGCTGCAACCCTTAGATTGCGGCCAGGTACCTTGCCAGTGAGGAAATTATATCAAAATATTACTTACGCAAACACATATCTATATCTTGCTAAAGCATATTGATGTAATGTACGTTAACGTGAATTTTTGAATTTCTGTTAACTGACTGTTAACGTGAATTTCATGAAAATTGCCTCCTCATAGCTACATCGAATTTCTACCCATATCATATGTTACCTTCCTCCACACTCTTATTGCTTTCATGCTGCTGTTGCACTTTTCCACTGTTCCTCTCTCTTTTTCCTTCACATCTCCGTCTTGTGCAAAATAGTTACATGTCCTTTCAATACATGGCGAGCAGGAGGCTGTACTGACGATTCCCACTCCTACCTGCATGCACAGTCCGTTCTGTGTTTACAGCTAAGGGATAAAACACAGACACTGCATCGTAAAATGTCTTTTTGTACATGACACCTAAGCCGAATCTTTCTGCTCTACTATTCCTATTATCAAAAAACTTGGTTACTGTCCCGGGCTTGTTTCATATAGATAATTCCTGTTTCATTTTTTTTTTTTGGTGATGCAATATGCCATCATTGGATGCTAGAAAAATTTGCGCTCTGTTAAATGAGGTGGAAAACCTCGTACTTTCTGTGTTTACGGTTAAGAGATGAAACACAGACAACTTTGTGTATCCTCTAAACATAACCATTTTACTTGTGTACTGGTTTGTTTCCATCGACAGCCCAACTATCTTACCCGCCACCATTCTTTATCAAATTCTATTCTTCTAACCTTAAACCATATGGAATTCAGCTGTGCTGGACTTGCTTCGGTTTTTACAATCCTCTACTTTGTTTGTTATTTCTCGGCCTACCCATGGCCAGAAATTACCATTGCGACTGAACACTGCGGCCATCATACTGACGAGATCCAGTCGCGGTGTTGAGCTGAGGCGTATATGATTTCATGGACCGAAACGTCTTAACTCTCTCGTGCTTATTTTTCCTGTACCAGCAATATTTCTGCCTCCTGCATTACATATTTCGTTCTGTTCCTGCCTTCTTTTTTAGGTTCTTCATATTACTTTTATGCTACAATCATGCGATAATCAGCTTACCACTGTACATATACCACAACCCTGACATATCAGCTTGGAATGGCTAATTTTTGGCTGGGCTTCCTTGGCCATTTCTTTCCTTTCTATTTCATCAGAAGGGTTTAAGTTACGCTGCTGAATCAGGAGGAAACAGATGATCAAAATTACGTGTGGCAGCTGAATTTTTTGAACAGTTGCTTTATTTTTAGTGAACAGAAAGAGGATGATGTTGTTACGCGTAATCTGAAAGCAAATGGAGCGCGGAGCTTAGCCGAGGCTGTACGAGGTGAAGAAGAGCGAGAATGCATGGAGCAAGTATTTCTCAGCCGAGCCGTCTCTTCTACGGCCGAATTATCTCGAGAGCATGTTGATACAGGTAAAAATTTATACAAATTTTTTGCCGGAGGCAATAAAAGTTATGGATTTTGGTGCCATGTTTGTGTTTATAATACGTTTTTTTGTTGGATCAGAGCCAAGACCCTTTATGTTTCATTTTTTATGAGAGACGAGAAAAGTCGGAATTGTTTTTTGCATTATCACTTACCGGTAATAACCTTCCACTGGTACACTATGTATGATTCCCACTTCCGAGTACTGATTAAGAAGTAGGCTGATTTCAGGTTAGCTAGGCATACTTTACCGATTTTCCGTTAAAGCAAAAACTTTGGGAGTTTTTTAATAAACATATTTGAACCGAAGACTTAGTTCTTAATCGTAGCAGGCGTATGGAGCCCGTCGTGTTTTTTTTTGTAACTGGAAATGAATATTTTGCCCAATTTCGGCTTTTTCCCATATTAATTTTTTTCTCATTCTTTCAAAAAAACTGTTATATTCCAAAGTTTTCCAAACGCGCAAGTGCTGAAGCGTTTCGCGCAGCTGAATTTTGAACTTGAGGACATAAGTCATGAGTTGATTTGGCATTTTTAAGCTTATTTTTTTGTTTTTAGCGGACACGACAGAATTTCCAGTGCCACCGCCACGTCACAAAAAGCATGCAACAAAACAAAACGAACAACAAAACTCTCCGTCTGAAGATCATTTCTCGATGAGAGAACGCTGGAGAAAGCTTGATGTCTCTGGTGCCATTTTAAGGCCTTTCAGAAGCTGCAAACAGTGCACTAATTGCTCATCCTGCCGGTAATTTTTCCATATTTCTTTGCATATCGGCACTTTTTTGGCGGTATTTCTTTTCTGGGAAGCCAATTGTGGTTCTAGTTAGTTCTGCACGTGAAATTTGCTTCCGTTATAAATTCTTATCGGATCAGCTTCCTCCATGATTCCCCTCGTGATTGCTAACATAAGAAAAGTGCTAGCGTGTGAATTGAATCAAATATATACATGTATGGAATTTTCTCCTGCAAGAAAAAATAGATGGCCAGCGCACCGACTGCCGGTGCGAAGATGCGTTTTTTGCATTGTTCTTGGCAGGTTTTTGTCTAAGAGAATTGAGACTGGTCATCAGGACTGTCAGGAAACATCCCCTTAAAATTTCAGCTTTCTAGCTTTTCTGATTCTCGAGTTAGCAGCTTGCCCGTTAAAAACTTTGGCGGGCCCGTACGTGGCTGCCACGCGGGTGAGTGCGCTCATTTTGGGGATGGAGCGTACACGCGTGTAGATTAAGTTCCCAAAGTTTCAGCCCTTAGTTTTTGTAAGTTTCGAAATGAAAAATCGGTACAGATGAACACACAGACACACACATACGCAGCCTCTCGACAATATGCGTTTTTGCATTGCATAGATGCAAAAGACGCATAAAAAGTGAGGAACTAAGGAAAGAACGAATGCGGGATATCAGTAGGCTCATTGGCATGTGATGTAGATTCGTTTACTCCAATCTCTAATGAGTTTCTAACTGCGCCGGCAACGCCAGGATGAAACAACAGCTGATCAGAATGTCTCCTAAGATTTTCTGTTTTCGTCAGTTTTGATGATTTTTATTGTGCCCCTTTTTTTAATCAGTTAATTAAGAAGAAACGCAACAAGCACCACAGTCGATGTGGTGGAAATGGAACGAGCAAGCAAT